ACGTTTAGAAAGCCAATTTCTTCCCTATTTTTGTCCATGTCAGGGACAGAAATGCTTGTATTTAGGTCTGATTGTCCAACACTATGGTCTAGGAAAGAACCTCTTATTGGACAGAAACACCCAGTCTAGCATAATCCTCAGAAGAGCAATACACTTTTTGGATCAAGTCCAAAGATGACAAATGGATCTTGTGACTTTACTTTAAGAATTGTTTACAGTATTAACATTATCTTAGCTGTATTGGAAAAAATACCCCAGCAGCTATTTAAAGTATAGCAAAGTCTGACAATGTAGAGCTGAGCCTGAAACTTTTAATTGGATATCCACATTCCCTCAATAGTGCGAATCATAGGCCTACATTTGTACTTTGCCTCACATGGATTAAAAACAGTAAGAATAATAACCTATTATCTCCATTTAAGGATGTGTCCTTGGTGAATCATCAGCATAAGATTGAGTTTAAATGTATATACAACCCAAGAGACTATTTTTGCACCGGTCTAACATCTTTCCTTTCATGACCCATTGTCTTCTCTTGAACCCCTTTTACCTTCCTCAAACAATGCCTCTGTTGGGGATAGACTCATTAAACCCAGGTTTTCCTGTTTTGTCTTCATTGTTTGTCCTTCCTGAGGTATGGGCCCTTCTGAGTTGATGATTCACCGGCTCTACAGTGCCACCGAGTTCACGTCGTCAACGACGTTCTGTTTCAGCACTCAACCCATTTGTGAACTAAAATATCATCATCATACCCCTTCATAAAACACTGGTCCCTGCCACTGGAAGCTCTACCTTTATGTATTTATCATAATTCTTCCTGGCTTAGTGTTTGTACAACTGCTCTGAACGGTCCCTGTTTCACCATAACTCTGATTGATGTGTTTTCATTTCAGTCAGGCTTGTTGTTACAGTTGTTGGTATAGTAAGAGCTGCTTTTACAGCCTCTCTGCTATACTCCCGCTGCTTCTCATTGCTTCAACAATGTTTACAATGTTGCTCACAGTAATAAAATAAAACTGACTTAAAAATGGATTGGGAACACAGTATATGGTGAGAAAGGCACTGAAGTCTCTGTCCCTTTAAGATCTTGATGGCTCCTCCGCTGCTCCCTTGAGGTTGCTGGCCTTCCTCAGGCTGCCTGCCAACTGCCATGTTACTGTCAAGCGTTTGCAGAAATGCCAGCAAAGCCATTAGTCTAGACCCCTTTTCACCAGTCAGCAGACTGGACAGCGTGAGCAGCACGGTGATGTGGAGAGACAAAGGACCTGGCCTTATAAAACTACAAAACACATTACTTTCCCTGCTTTATTTCCTATCACATGTGTTATTGTTCACTTAAGCTGTGAATACTCTCTTACCATCTCCCTTTGTGAGCTCACAGACTGCAAACAGACAGGACTGAGGAAGGGTTTGAAGTTGTAGAAAACGACCTCACCACAGATAATGAGGTTTTCTAACTTCTTTAATACTACCATGTGCGTTTAGTCTATAATTTTTTTTAATATGAGTAACAGCAGCTCCATGTGCCCCCTGGTGCCTCACAGCTTTTTCCTGTTGTGTTTTTTGTCTCTTGGGGTACAGCAACATCTGGTGGTAGACTGAAGAAAGCACACTTTTCTTGTGATCTACTGTGCTGACACTTCCTTTTAATCACATACCATATATTTAAACATCGTCCTTCATCACTCTTACACAGTCGTACCCTTAGTGAAATAAACTGCCACTCAGCAGTTAATTTGGAGCAAATAGACATTGTTAAACTGAAAATAACTTTTTGTTAATTAGTTACATTTATTGAGTAAAAAGAGAATTTAAGTTGCTTTTTGTTTTGTTTTACCTGAATCAGTTTTACTTTCCCTTGAGTGAAATTACACTCAAGCCATATTTCTGTTTCTTGGGAACCTCCTTAGAAATGCTCACAGATGGTGAGCAGCTGATTAGAGTAATCCCACTAGAAGGGTCAGGCATGCTGGTGGTGGTGCGTTGTTGATTGGGAAACCTGTTGCTTTGTTAAAAATCCTCTTAGAAGCCGGGTCACGTGACCCCTCTGTGGGCTACAGGATGTGTATGGAGCCTTGTTTCCATTCACAAGCTGGATGGAGACAATCACACTGCAGCCTAGAAAAAACACATCATCCTTGGTGAGAGCTTGTGTTAATTCATGATATAAATATTCCTATACATTGCATTGGATATTTTCTGTCAGTACACTCTCTTTCTAATGTTTCCTATTAAGACCAAAGGCTGGATGTGCTGTAACAACTTAACACATCAGCCATGCTTCTCCACAATCACATTGTGAAAGAGGCCTGGACACGGGACAGGTATGTCAGCATAACCAAGAAACAAATGTTGCAAATGTATATGTTATCCAAGCATTTTATATGAGGCCATCTAAATGTTGGATAAATTATCCTCCTCGTCCCTGCCATTACTAACCTATTTGAGACCTTGTGTTAATCACTGCTTTCCCACGCCCTCTTTCCGCTGGGACTAGCCAAGAGGCGCTAAACCAGTAAGTATTATGGAAAATCTTTATGTGTTGCTGTCAGGTAGACCTACTAAGGACTGCTTAGCACATCAGTGTGACCTGGTACTGTTAGAATTACATTTTATTTATATCACATAGTTCATTGGGCTATAATACTTTCTTTGTGGGTAAAAAAATGGAGGCTATATTTAATAATGTTGTATTATACATTCTTATATGGTTAGATTATGTGTTTTAAAAAAAAAAGATGTATGGCAAATAGAAAGCCAAAGATAAATGTTTTTTAAAAAACTGTACAAAGATATGTTTATACGCAGATATGTGAGAGTATGGAATATACAGCAATAGGTATTCATAAGAAAGTAATCATTCCACGTGTAATTTGTTTTCAAAGGGTTATTATAGTAAATAATATTTGGTTTCGACTGGCAGTATAATAAAATGAGCAATATGAAAATGGCAGCTTTACTGTTACATTTTATGTCCAAACGAACAATTCTTGAATGAAGACAAGAACATTTTTAAAAAAAAAAGGTTAATTGATATTTAAAGAAAATGTTTGCGGCCCTATTCCAGATCACGCGTGCAAAGGTTCATACTGTATAGAAAACTAAAAGCCTTACTTTGGGAACATTATGTATTTAGTGGACACTAAAAGGACAATATTGTAATAAATCATGCAGTTACATTATAGCAACTTAAATATTGTTTCATTACTATCAATTAAACAACACTTTTTCAACTTATAAATACTGAACATTTAAACTGTATAAAACCTCTATGACTTTATTCCTAGATACTGCTAGTGTCTGACCTACAGAACAGTAGGTGTGAAGGAAAGACAAAAGGATCCCCATATGACATCTTTGCTGAGACTTGCATGAGTACCCCGGACACAACATAAGTGTTTGGTCTGTGGATAGTGGACAGTGGACACACGTGATAAACAAGTCTTCTCCCTCCTCCTGAGCCTTTGTTGGTTTCTCCCGTTGACGTGTTCCCACAGAGCAGATGGCTTTACACATAAATCCTATTAACAACTTTCTGCTGATGGAGTCTGAGTACAGGGCTTTCTCACTCTTTCATTATCTCCGCTGAGAGGCCTGCTTTTTTATTTTCTAACCTCTAACAAGAAGCAGTGGTAGAGCTGAAGGCAGAGGCCACACCATGTCTGCAGAGAAGGTAAAGGGTGGGGTTGTGGTTTGGCAGATTTTTTTAATTTACTTTAAAATATGATGTGGTAACTGGAGAGAGGCCTAAGGGATGGAAATCCATTTAATAAGAGTTAAATAATGTTGCTGCTGTTGTCATGCAACAATATTTACAGTTGGACTGTGTATGCAAAGTTGTGACCCACTGCATCCATGGGATATCTTTCAATCTTTGTTCCCCTTGTGTTTACTTTAGTTTATCTCTGGCCCACATGTGAGGTAACTGCTCTATATACAAATGACAGTAGAGGAATAAGGCAAGGCGGAATTCAGAAGAGAATTCAAAACTGGAAAGCATCTATAGGCACTACAGCATGGATTGCATTCATATCTGACATTAAGTTGCATTTTGGAATACAAATGTACACGTTTGGGTGACACTCATCAGCCGAGCAGTGCATCTACAAAAGCACGCGCAAGGGATTGAAGGCTGTCAGTAATCCAGCTCACCGCTGACTGTGGCGACGTCCAAACCATATGCAACGGCAGTACTTTCATTATGCCATTTTCTTCTTTAATTCCTACTCTATTTACTTTGAGCATTACCATATGTGTCAACAAGTAATCTAATTTTCATCAAATGCCAAAACTAGGTCAACACTAAGGGTGATTATTGGATCATAATTTCATACTAATCTCTTCTAAATCCTCTCAGGGAATTTCAATAATCATGCAACATATGTTTTGCCTCCTTCCGAGCTACATAACGATGCCTCACATTAGTACAGTATTGTTTTAGACACATTCATTAAAACATGTTTTTCATCAGAATAATTTCAGAGTGTTCGGATATACTTTGCCACCTCAGTGCGATTGTGTTAAGTACAGACATGAAACATCTATTTATATTTTAAAGTTTTGTGTAAAGGACTGTAATTAAAAATAAAATGGCGACAGTTCAATAGAAACATATTATTTTCTATAATGGCTGGAGTGTAATATGTCATTTAATCACTTTTCATAACAATGAATCACAATATTACAAATGTCAACTATAATTGTGAGTTGTAGACTTTCAAGGAACTAAAATAGACTTCCATGAATGCAGGATCTGCCTCTAATAGGATTACCTTTATTGTCTCTGCAATCACACTGACCTCCTTCTCTGTGACTTGGGCTGGACACGCTGTGCCTATCAATGGTTTAGTCATCACATGTGTGAAATACATCTTGGTTCCCTTTCTATTCATTGAAACAGGGATATATTTTACTATTGTATGATATACATAGTAATACATAGACAAAGGCGTGTGAATGGGACTGTTGGTCATACTATACCTTAAACTTGTGTCTAGAAGATGACAGCATATAATGCAGGTGATGAAGGAAGAACTGCAAAGATTGATTTCATTAAGCATTAATGACCAAATCCAGTGTATTTTATATAAAAAAATCAGAAGAGAAAAAGGTAATTCCTTGAAATGTATTTACAGGGATTCTTTAAACTAATTGACTTGCCATCTTGTGTGATGTAAAGAGTGATTGTGTAATGTATTTAGTGTTTCTCAGCACTCCAGAAGAAGCTTGAGCGAGTTGCATACACTTGTTTTGTAACCTTTTTGTATGACAGGTCTGTATTTATAAATAATAGTAATCATTACATTCTCTTTCACTAACTTAAAATACAGCTTTACAAGAAATTAAACATAATTCATTGCACTACTATTTTTTTCATTTGAACAATGACAATGAACAATGACTCACTTTTAAGACTGCCAGCATGACTTACTTAGACATTGTATGCAAACCAATGAGCATAAATAATGTTTATTATATACTAGAACTATATTAATAACAGCTGTAGAAGTAGTTACAACTTAATTGTTCTTTTTTTCTTTCTGCCCCTCGCTACCTTTCACATCTGACTTTTAATGGTGAGTGTTTATAAATGATAAAGATCCTTAAGTGCTATTTTTAGTAAGTTATCCTATATTTCTTTGTCTCCCATCTATTGTGTTCAGTCCTTGTCGTGTTTTCTCTTCTCTCCTGTCCTTCCAATTTGCTCAAGCTAATCTCTACTAATCCGTTTTGTACCTTTAAAGAAAATCAATAGAAGCCAAAAAAGAAGAAAGAGGAACAGATCAGAAGCCAAGCTCATTGCAAAAGAACAAAGCCCAAAAAAACAAAGACAAAAAAAAATGAAGATGGATCCGAAGAGGAAATTCCTGCCATCCAAAGTAAGGAACTTTTTCAAAGACTAAGATATTTTAAGCATTTCTAGCAGAAAGACCGAACACTGTGGTCATCCACATTAGACATCCACATTGGACATCCACATTGGTCATCCACATTGGTCACACTGCTGTTTTTTTTAATCAACATTATAGATGGAAAGAAGGTGAAGAAAAAGAAACCAGAAAAAGATCAAGAAGAACCAGAAAAGGGAAAAGAAAAGGAGAAAGAGCCAAAAAAGAAATCCAAAAGTGCTCCAAAAAAGAAAAAAGGTATGTCAATGTTAAAACCGGGAGTCTAAAAACCTTAAAGACTTAACTTAATAAAAATATCATACAATTAAACTCATAAATCAAATGTACTTTTGGAAAATGATTTTAATAATACACTACTTTTTCCATGTCTGCAGGTTCAGGCACCGATAACGACGATGATGACGATGATGAAGACACCTCCAAAAAGAAGACTAAGAAAAAGACAACAAAAGACAGTTCTCCGTCTTCAACCACTGCCAAAGAAAAGAAATCTAAATCAAAAGGTATGGCAGGAGAACTGTTTTATTAGGGAATTAACAGTGGGACCTAAACAACTGTTATGAGACCAGACTTATGTTGTTGAGAAGATTAAATGATTTGATTGTGTAATCACAAGCGTGTGCACACTGACTCACTTGGTGGCAGAGGCTAAATCACAGGAGTCAAGTGAGGTTTCCCTCAAGAAATCAACCTTTAAAGTTCATTCAAACTGTTGCAACATTAAAATCCTTACAATTTCCCCTTTTAGATCTAATTTAAATTAAGTTAAAAGTGATGTGTGGACAGACTTCTCTGTGGCATGTTGCAACACTTTTACTTTGCACGAAGTCTGGAGAACATGATGTTAGAAGCTTACATTTTGTCTTTACAAACCGACCAGCACATTCACAATTAGTTTAAGTATAACAACTGATTAATGAGGAATAATTAACACATTGGCCATCACTTTGGCCCTGACGAAAATATCAACTGGATAACATGCAATGATATTTAGTCCAGATTTCCTTGGTCCCCAGTGTATAATTATGCCTGACCTTTCCTGTTGCACCCCCATTAGATTGATATTTATAGTTTGGAGACAAATGTTAACTATTGGCTAAATGCCATTTAATTTGATACAGATGTCGATGTTTACATCATGGTAAATAATCTGGCAATTCTTTAACTTTCAATTTTCATGACCAAACATCTGCAAAATCCCCATCAGTCTTTTGTGTGCTTCGTGTTTGGTGATAATTAGCTAATGTTAGCATGCTTACACCCTAAAGTACAGAGATGGTTAACAGAGCAGCTAGCATGACCAGTCTAGTCCTAACATATCCATTCACTGCTTCAGTTTCTTTGCCTTTGTTAGCACTTACTGTATATCACTAAGTATTCGTTTGGGTTGACAGTTTGTTTCATTACCAGTGTGGGGAGGCACAACTTTAGACATGGTTAGCTCCTCATTCACTTAACTTGAGCTATATGACAAGCGATTATCTGTGTAGAGATGTTTCTTGATTATCACTTCAACACTGGCTCTCTGTCAGATATAGCCCAGAGTGTTGTTGCTCTTTTCGATTACTTTGCTTGGATCGCCTCCAGAGAGTTTGCCTCTGAGCTGAACTTAACCTTCCTCCACCTCAGATCAGCCATCAGTCATGTCAGGGAAACCTGCTCCAACTTGTGTTTGTGGCTCTGTGCTCCTCCTGTAGAGTAAAGGGCAGCCAGGTGCTCTGTTTACTGGGAGAGTGAGAATGGAGTGCATTATATTAATAGAATACCTTATGGTAGCTATGGCAACATATTTCTTTCTGTTGTCTAATTCAGAATGATGATACTTCTCAATGTATTTAAGTTGAGTAAGTTAAAATATTGTTTAAGAATATTGTTTCCTCCACATTTACAAAACTTGATCCAAACTTGATTATAGAGTTTAAGTTCAATCAACATTTCACATGTTGTCAAACAGTTAACAACATTTTAATAACAATTACAAAATAACAATTCATTACTTTTTCCTAAGTTTTAGAAATTAGTTTTCTTGATATAATTCAAACCTTTGGTAGTATTTAATTTATTTGATAACATCAGAGCTTTTGTTTAGGCAACTACATAATGGAGCATTTACCAGGACCAGATATGATGTATTGGACCAATGCAAAGCTAAAATAGGAGTCAATATTGGACTACATTAGGCATACTAAAGACTGCAGGTTGAAAATGTAAGTTGGAGTTATTTGATGCTTCCATCTTCCTAACTTATGTATTTATAACGGATAAAATATAAACAAATGGTCTCAAATCTACACAATATGTATTCACATGACAAAGGGTAAAGAAATGTCCCACCTTGACTTCCTAAAGTTTCACCAACCAGACAACATTAGACCCGTGTCTAACCAAAATTAGCACAATACTCAGTCGCTTACCTAAATTCGATCCCTGGAGTTAATTTCTTTATTCTGTGGACAGCTAAATATATAAGTTCATGTTGGGGTGGATTCTTTATTGTGTAACACATTTGTATTGTGAGTATCGACAGCATGCAGAATGTATTTAAGGTTTTGAGTACAATAGATATTTGCTACTTGTTTTGTGTGAAAAATGTGGCATCCCTTGCCTCGATTTCTTGTGTTCTGCACAGTATGCTAAACATGTGAATTCCAAGCAGATATATGCAAAAGGTTCCAGTCAAAAGTCCTTGCTTGCTGGTTGAATTGCAGTTCGGATTTATTTCCCCACTGTCTAGTACACAAAGGAATGTGATTTACATGATTTGCCTCTGGCAATAAAAGAAAAAAGATTACATTCTCAGTGTGTGCTCAGATGACTCTCCAGTTTGGTATTCCATTCAAGGACGGATAACATTTTCTAAATTGTTACATTATTGTCATGTCTCAGAGGAAAAAGATCCTGATGGAAAAGAAAAAAAATCCAAGTCAAAGGAGAAGGAGAAGGACAAGAAGAAAGAACCAGCATCAATGTTCCAGATAAACGGAGACAAAGACTCAAAAAGCAAGAAGAAAGGTAGTTTTATTGCAACTGCATTTTATCCATCCATCAAGCTGCATCTTAGCTTCCATCTTAATGCTGATGTTGACTTTATTTTAGAGAACAATCTGTCTGTAAGAATTTTTACAAATTATGAAATTCATTGATAATCTTTATATCAATCCTCTGAGCAGCTGCCAAATCCGACAGTGATGAGAGTGAAGAGGAGACAAAGTCAACCAAATCTAAGAAGAAATCCAGCGCCAGCGCAACATCCCTCTTCCAAACATCATTAGACAAGGACAAAGATAAAGACAAAGACAAGAAGACAAAGAAAAAAGGCAAGTTAACCAGCACCTTAATTGTACTTTGAGTGACTAAAGAATAAACTAAAGAACAAGAATGTAATATTTTTTGTTGTACATTTCAGCAAAGGCAGAACAGAGTGACGATTCTGACTCAGAAAAAGAAGAGAAATCAAAGAAGAAAAAGGGCAAAGGGAAGAAGAAAAAGGTATCTTAAATCTCAAATTACACTCATTAATAAAATAAGACAAGCCAACATAGCATCATTTTAAATTTCAGAATGACAGATTACACTTATTTGAATGCTTCTTCATCAGGACAGAGCTCCTTCACCAGAGATTGAGTTTGACAACTTGGAGAAGTTTGTGATAGAGCCGGCTCCGCAGGGCGTGACGGTGAAATGCAGAGTGACTCGGGACCAAAGAGGGATGGACAAGGGCTTCTACCCTCTGTATTACTTTCACCTTGACAACGAGAAGAAGGTCAGGGATTTCTCTTCAACACAGTCTTATCGTTCAGGTCTTTGCAATCTAACTTTGCTAGCAGAGTAACAGTCAAATTATAGGACTAGTCCTTATGTATACTTTTATGAAGTGAGTTCTCACTTTCTTAATATATAAAAGGACTATTTGATTTGTTTGTTCTTTATAGACATTCCTGCTGGCTGGGAGGAAAAGGAAGAAATGTGCAACCTCAAATTACCTCATCTCCATCGATTCCACAGATTTATCGAGAGGTGGAGAGAATTTTGTTGGAAAGCTGAGGTACAATAATCATTCCTTCCTCAAAAGGAGCAATATATCATCCACGTTTTTATTTTACTGTGAGTTATTAATTATGTAATATATATTGTCCAGGTCTAACCTAATGGGGACTAAGTTCACTGTCTTTGACAACGCTCTGAATCCAGACAGAGCTCTTCCAGACATGTCTAATGCGCGGCAGGAGATGGCTGGCATCGTTTATGTAAGTCACTCTTGGACAAAAAATGATCTATCAACAGTATGCATCAATCCATAATATCTTTTCGAGAGCTTTCCATACATTGAATTTCATGTGTTAAAGTACATTTGATTTGATCTCCATTTTGTCTGTTTTTATTTCCGGCACCAGGAAACGAATGTCTTAGGGATGAAAGGACCCAGAAGAATGACGGTTATCATTCCAGGGATGGACAAAAACAACGACCGAGTGCCTCTCCGACCAAGAAGTGTAACTTTTATTTTTAAACTCAATTGTTTTATTTTAGTGGTAAATAAAAAAATAATGCAAAAAAATTAAATACCATATAGACCACCAGTATAATTTTATATTTATCAAGTTTGCGTCTTTAAGCTTGGTTGTTAAACATCAAGTGCGGAAAATAATCTGATGGCCTATTAGCAAAGTCAGCCCTCCCAGAATCCCCTGCTTCTATGCATAATGTTTTCACACTGTATCGAAACTGCACAGTATTCATGATAATTAAATAATGAGAGCAACACAAGGCCAACATGTAAAACTTGATTACCCTTTGTCTGCATTTTTTTCCTTATTTGTGTTCCTTGCAGGAACTTGACGGCTTGTTGATAAGGCACCAGAATAGGCGCATGGAAAACCTGATTGAACTTCAAAACAAGACGCCTGTGTGGAATGAAGATAGTTCGTCCCATGTGCTCAACTTCAACGGCAGGGTGACCCAGGCCTCCATCAAGAACTTCCAGATAGTCCATAGCAAAGACCGTGAGTACTCACATCTACTGCTACCTTTTCAAACTAAATATGTATGAAACAAACACTCCTGACCTTTACAATGAAGTTACTAGTCAAAGAAACACAACGCAGTTTACTGTCAAGTCCAAACAAACATTTAGATGTAAAACCTCGTAAAAAGACAAAGATGGTTAATTTGGATGTACTTTCTCCTAAGTTTTGTCTGAGAATAATGAAATGTATCTATAAGAATAACTTGAATGGCAATTCTCAAACAATTTGATATCTCATAATAGAGACAGGTGTCAAACAATTAAAATACGTTTATTAGAGACTCATTCAATTATTCACTAACATGTCTTATTTGAACAATGTTTGGATATTTCTTAGATTAAGTTTTAGATTACAAAGCAAAGTTAAACTATGTTTTATTACATCATAGGTATGTATGCCAATTTAAAAACACCAAGCCTCCTGTATTAGTTTAATAGCTGATCACAAAAAACCCTAAATGTGATCTACTATGACATAACTACTAAAATAACACAACGTATGACATCATGTCCTATACTGTATGCTAGTTATTATTATCTCATGGCTTTATGGATATCAGTCCACCACTTTGGACTGAATCACCTTAACAACAGTTGGAGGGTTGCCATGTTATTTATTTTCCCCAGAGGATGAAACCTACTTAGTCTACTTCAATATGAGGCTGAAATCCTGAAATGATGCGATGATGTTTTAAATAAAAATAATTAACATTCATAATTAAATGTTTACCAACTAACTTTGAACAATCCTCCTGCCTCTTTCAGTTGACTACATTGTGATGCAGTTTGGTCGAATAGCTGATGACATTTTCACGCTGGACTACAACTACCCGATGTGTGCCTTGCAGGCCTTTGCTATCGCACTCTCCAGCTTTGATGGCAAAATCGCCTGCGAGTAACAGTAGGATGCCCAGTTCCTACTCACGCATAAACCAGTACGCAACACGCCCACATCTTCCTGCGATAGGCCACAATAACGAATGACAGTTCCTCTAAGTCTAAAGTGACAATACCTGCTCCTGGTTGTTGCCTTTTAAGGCTGTGTGACTTCCTCCAGGAGTGAGAAATAAAACTTGGTCTGATATGATCCTGTAACCTGGCACTGCATGGCACAGGAGAGTCTTGTTTTTTTTTGTTTTTTTCAGTGGATAAGTCAGTATTTCTGTGAATCACACAATGATGACGGCTGTTGGCATCATTATAAGACGTCAATGTTGTTCGGGCTTTGTTGTGCTGTATGTTTAAAATAATGATAGGTCAAAAATGTCTTGTGTCAGATGTGACTGTGATATGCAAACATTGTTATTCTCGCAAAAATAACGTTAAAAAGAATAAGGGAAGTACTTTTATCTGAACGAAATCGGGTACTAAATCATAACGGCAAGACTTCTTTGAGAACAAATATTTTCAGGGACTTTTACATTCCAGACGTTTTTAGAGTAACATATACAGAGGTGTCAATTTTTGGAATAGGAATGTCTTGATATATGTACAATGTGACGTTTTGACAAAATATTCATATTTCCCTGTGGATCTCAGATGACCTGAGCTCCTGCAGGATCATTTTTTTTGGTTCCATCATTTTGTAAAATGTATTAATTTCTGAACACTGCCTTTTTTGTTTAGCATTTCTAGCTGTGTTATTATCATATTTATTAATTAAAGTATGTGAACTTTTGAACTTGTATGTGTACAATTGCATTAGTTACATTGGTGGTTGTGTGTTCCTGCAAGGACTGCAGATCATGGTCATCTCTTCTCCTTATATGAGATTAGTGTTTTTATACAAAATGTAATAAACGATACTAAATAACTTCCTCAAAGTAAACATCTGTTGTGAAAATACATGTACACCTTATCTTGTCTCTTATTTAGTAAGTGTGTCCAAAATTCTTAAATATTACAAAAAATATTTGTAGGTAATTTTGGGCCTAATCCCTCATTGATGAAATGTAGGAAGTCTGTTTTAAATTGTGTTTCAGACAGTATCCTCTTCAGTGAACCGGCAGATAATCAGTAGGACTTCTTATAGTTGCCGTTCTGAGAGACACCCACGCTGCTCTCCAGTTGTTGTGTGACATGTTGAGAGGAGAGCTTCACTCGGAATGAAAAACCAGTTTGAGTCGAGACCCTGAAGAGTACGTGAGAAGTGTGTATTCTGCCTGAACCTGCTCAGGCAGTTGTCCAAACTCGCAAATTAAACGAAGCCTGAAGCTGGCAGCTCTTTTGGACGGATGCTGCAAGGTGAGTTTTTCTCCTCTCATTGTCTTTTTCTGTTACGTGAATTCCAGTGCAACAACTCCCAAGATTTCTGTAGTCGTACTTAGACACTGATACAATTAGTGCATTAATGAATGATTTGTTGTCACACCATCTGCTTAAACAGCAACTCTGCTTTAATATTGGAATTCTGCTTAACAGCTGCAACCACGCTGTTGACCAACAGAAGGAGCTGTTGCTGGATTCAAGGTATATTTTGTTTATAGTGATGTACATATTCTAGATAGATAGAATATATGTTCCCTTTGAATTAGCCCTGAGATAAAACAAAAGCACATACTTTTCTTTTAGATCATTCAGTGTTAACAGTTATCTATTTTTATTTAAAGTGTGGTACTTAAGGAGAGCAGTTTGACAATATCTGATTAGCTGGTGATTTTTTTTAAAAGTATTTTTAAACTTCTTATTATTAATCCAACTTCAGATTTGATTTGATGTTTCAAAAAGCAAAACTATGCTTAAGTGTGTAATTATATAAAAAAATACAACTTATTTAAAATGTAGATACAATTTAATTAACCTGCAATGCACTCAGTATTGAGTCGTATGGACACAGTGATTGAAAATATATGTATGGGAACACACAAGGGCTCTAAACAAAAAACACTATCAGTCATAGAAGTCAGGCAGTGAATAAAATACTTGTCATTACCGTGTATGTAATGTAAGTGAGTCATCTTTGTGATGAATCATCTCTTTAATTGTTATTTATTATTAAAATATTTCAGCAATCTTAAAAATGCTGCTGAGTCTGAATACTCCATCACATCAGCTACACTGTAGCAAAGCACTAAATATAACTCTTATTTATTAAATGTCTTAAATGTCTTTTAAACTAATTTACACACTCCAGGTAAACCTTTAGCATTTGTTTTGAGCATTACCATTAAGTATAGAGTGCCAGAGTGACGCGTCCTAAACCCCGGAAGAAGGCTGCGCATGGGTTCCTTCGACAAAATTTCTCCATAGGATTTTGGAAACTAGCTCGAAATAAGGTCTGTGGTTGACACACGTTTAAGAGTCGGATAATCTCCACATGTCTACCCTACTTTTATAATTGTATAATCATAAACCTATCGATCATAAATCTATCGATTAGATTTATGATTCGAAAATTATGAAAGTAGGGTAGACATGTGGAGATTATCCAACTGAAGAAAACGTGATCCGTCTCTTAAATATGTGTCAACCACAGACCTTATTTCGAGCTATTTTCCAAAATCCTATGGAGAAATTGCATTGCTTTTTTGTCGAAGGAACCCATGCGCAGCTTACTTCCGGGGTTTAGGACGCGTCACTAACAACAGTCTGTTTATGTATAAACTCAATCTTTACCATTACCTTTCACATTAAAGTACACATGATGCACCATAAGTATATATTCATATAATAAAATAACATAATAAGATAAGATATACTTGATTGATCACAAATTGGGATTTTTTTTGCATGTAAAACAAAGTATTGCACATAATTACAAATACAAAAAGAGTAGAAAATAAACAATTATAAAATATAAACATATCAAAATAAAAGATAAAACGGAACTAAAAGAGCTCAAATTTAAAGGTTGACAGTGAAGTATCTGTAAACTATCTGATGAATAAAACGCTATGGAAGGGCTAAATTACAGCTAACACAATATAAAAGTCGGATAAACATAATATAATCTGGTGATAACATATGTATTATTCAGAAACACGTCATTCTGCGTTATCGATAATTGTATGACTAATTTAATGTAATTAAAACATTTTAGTGCTTGACTTTAACTTTTAACAGTGTATTTACTTCCAACACAGTAAAATATCAAATTCATGATTTTTTGCAACACTGCCAATGTTAACTGATGCATTTATTTATCCCTAAACCCAGCAGTGATATACGGTACCATACATAAGGCCTGCAGTTTGTTTTGAGGACAGGAAGCTGCCGCTCTGCAGGGTTGTGCGGGGCGGGGCCTGCAGTGAAGTTGCCGCCCCCCCGGCCTGTTGATTGACGCGCACCGGTGGCTCCTCCTTGCAAGTCTGTCTTTCCCTCCCCCTTCGTTTTCCAGTGTAGTGCGTTGATTTCATACCAAAGTCATACTTAACATTCCACTTATACTGTCAAACCTCTGAGAAATATTACGGAAAACAACAAGGCGCCAAAATATAACAAACTATCTAAAGTGACCAGCTGCTCTCATTGAGAAGAACCAGTAGCCTGGCAGAATAAAAAAGGTAAGTTTTGCACAAATGTTCCCTCTTTAACTTTAGAGGCTTTTTTCTGGGTGAGTTTTTTCATGCCGCTTGTCTCGGTGAAGTTTTCAGATCATTGTCATTTTTTACATTTTTCCGCGGAGCTCCCTGCGTTGGGAGGGAAGAAAACATTTGCAGATTCTTACTCTATTGTGTTTGACTTTCCCAGTGTGCAGGGATATTTTTGACAGGCTCTGTGAAATCAGATTTCCACCGGTAGCCCCGCTCATTGACACACACTATTACTAAAAAGAAACACAAAGCGTCTCTTTTGACAGCTGGGAATATGTTTGTTTTCTTTCTCGCACAGTTCATACCTGGATCATCCAAAGCCTCCAGCCTTGTTCCTCCAGAGGAATCCAACAGTTTTACCTACAGGCTCAGAGAGAGACTCAAACAAGAACGATTTGGAGGAATACACAACTTCAGGTTGCTTTGGACCTCTGCATCCTAAAGGTAATTTGTTGTTCTGTCAGCTTAGTTTAGTGGAGGGAAGCTGTCTGTTAATACAACTGTTCTCACACATTTATTAGACAAACACAACATTTCAAAAAATAATTTTAAACAGATTTGTTATTAATCTTTTTTAACCAAATTGAGCTACATGTACTTGTTTTTTTTATCTGGCAGTGATGAGGTTTACATTTCCATTTTGACTACATGTTGATCATTTATAAAGACACTCATTACGGTTATGTCCTATATTTTGTATGATTGTTTGCATTCAGTTTTAAATTAGAAAACTTACATAAACTTTATTTTTGAACACAATATACATTGCATGAAGTTATTACAATATAATACTACCAGGTTGACAAACAAATGACAAATAATGTATGATACATTATGAATAAAGTAAAAGCCATGTGCATGCAGACCTGAAGCTACACACTCCTGCATACCAACAAGGATTTGTGTAACGTCATTGCAATTATGGAATATTTAGGAAATACCAAACCTTCTTTTTTAGTTAAAAGCTGATCAGGAATAATTCTGCAACATTTATTTTCTTCCTTTTTTTTGGTCAATTTATAGGACATTCTGAAGCCATAAGAAATAAGTGACTATAGTCTGTCTGTCAAAAACATCTGACAACATAGTTTTTGTAGATTGAGTAACTTTTCCTCAGCATGAAATTCCTTAATATAATCTTGTCTTTATTTAAAATGTAAACGCAATACTATCTATCTATCTATCTAGCTATATGTTTTACTTCTTTCTTTCGTGCCAATGAACAGGGCAATGTGATGATACTGTTCAAAGTGTTACTAACTACATAATTCATAGGTGAGGATTTGAGATGCAAGGATATGTTTGTGAGCTAATTTTATAATTATAGAAGAGGCACCTCGGGCTACACCTGCTCTCAGTCTGTGTTGTTTGTTCAGGCTCGGGTACACTTTGTTTGACTGCTAAATGTCTCGGCTCATTGGAAAATGTAAAAAAAAAACGACATGTTAGGATTGGTACAGTCAGACGAGCTCCATAGTTAAATCAGTGGCAGTCAACAAGTTTGACTGAACACCAGAATGCAGTCTGTCAGGTACACTCAACAAGCAGAATAACCTGTTAACGTTTCTGTTGGCTCCTTATCTATCTCCTTGTATTACTGAAGCAGCAATAGGCCTACTTAAAGGCATTACACATTATATTTCCTTCTGATTTCTGTCTTGATTCCATAAGGCTGTGAGTGTAAATGCGGCAGGATTCATGTGAGGCCGTGTTTTAGAGCTACAATTGTTTACATCAACACTGATAAAGACAATGATTGAATATCGTAGGAAAACTTTCTTGTTGTTCATTTTAGGTAACGGTTGAGAGGCTGCAGTTTTACAGTAATTTCTATTAACATGTGGAAACGATATTCTGAAACGCAGCGACCTACTAGTACGACCAAACAATGTGTCCTTGGTAAATGAGACACGCCAAGATGCCTATTAATAGATTTTGATGCTGATGGGTAAATCTGGAAAGGATTAGGCATTCTGCTGCTCCGACAGATTCCCCTTCATTGTTTTCATGCAGCATGAATGCATCAGGCCTCCCAATGTACAATGTGGTCTCTTTCTTCCTCTCCTTGAACGCACTTTATGTTTCTCAGCCGTTATGCATTTTGTAAGCGGTGTGAGAGTTAAATGCAGAGGGAACGTTTTACAGCTTCACCCATGTCACGGAGGTCAATTAGATTACTTGGGGTAATATCCTCTTAAAGTGGCACTTTCGTCTCTTTTTACTTGCCAGCTGTATTCCTTGAGGCCGCTTATCGGGACGGAAAAGGTAATGAGTGTTTTCTTCATGAGGTTTTAAAAAATCTCTCTTTTTTATAAAATCCAAAACTGAAGAGATCCTGAAGGTATTTCACATGTGGTGCTGTGTATTCCAGCGTTTAGTGCATCCACTCTTTGCTCTGCAGAGTGTTTACGCAGGTCTGTTGACCGTTTGTCAGCAGCAGCTTCACCCGTTTGTGTTAAACCCACAGCAGAGCGCCTAATGAGCTTTTGCCCATTTGTGCAGACGTTGGTTTCTTTTTAGCACCATCCCCAGAAGTGCTCGTCCAAATGGTGGACACTTGCCCCTCTGTCAACCCAGATCTGAACAAATAGCACTTATGTCTGCGTGGTGAGCACACAGAGGGCCTTAGAGAGAAGCCTGCAGGCCCCAGCAGAAGGGCATTAATGACAATCTGGAGTACAATATGCCGTCTAACTGGCAGCATCGGGTTAAAGAGTGCAGTTGTGTTGATGAATTTGAGTTATTTTTTACAGTGATACAACAAAAGCTGACCAGTCTTTAAACATATACTTCAGTTTCCCGAGTATCCAGCAACCTCATTTATCAACATTGTATTCCCATTAATGCACTGTACATGTTTACATATTCTCCAAACCATGAGGTTTTAACAGATAAGCTTTCCGGCCTCCTATTCGGACCACTGAGGGGAGGAGCCGGGGAGTGGCCTAGAACAGTATAGCCTTTGTGTCGGTTGTGCCCAAGTTGCTAAACGTTTTAGTTGTTCTTTCTCTGGCGACAGAGAGATGTTCCAAATAAATGTTCTCTACAGGCGAAGAGCTCAGAAAATAGATGTCTGTGGTTATGTGTGCCAGTGTCTGTGGCTCCCCGGGCCTCCATTATAGATAACATGAGGCTCACTGAGCCCGTCTGGTGTTGCAGAGATGTGTGTGTGTGTGTGTGTGTGTGTGTGTGTGTGAGGCCTGTGTGTGTGTGTGCGCGTGTGAGGCCTGTGTGTTTGTGTGCGCGTGTGAGGCCTGTGTGTCGCACTGGAGCTCCAGTGACCCAAGGGCACTCATGTGTAAACCTCTTTAATCCCTTTGCATAGAGTGTTTTGGGAAGGGGGATGATCCCCTTCTGCAGCAGAGAGTTATTGGTTCTTATTGCTCCTCATATAAAACAACACAGGTGTCTAAATGATTCTGAGGCCTTTATGAGTGTATATACTTACATCGAATGTGCAACAGTCCTATGAGTTTCCTCTCTGGTTCTGTTTTTATGTTAAATCTCAGCTTTTCCCTGTGAAAATCCTCTCTATAAGGCCCCGATCAAAGCCATGACTACTCTTAATGCCTTGTTCCACAATTGATATGGTTAGATGAGTTGTTGGCTCGTGCATTCTGCTGCAAAGTTATGCATGTCTTAAAGGTTTCACAGATTATGGCTTCAAACCGCTCCCCTCACCACAAAATGACCAATTCAGGCTAGAATGGCTTGTCTGCTGCTTTTGCTGGAAAATTTCCGATTAAAATGCTGATTCAGGCTGTACAAAAAAGAGAAAACACTCTGGCTCACCCGCGCCGTTTTGTGTCAGTCTTTCCCTCTTCAGATGGATTTTAGGCTTAATTCTCTTAAAGTGTGACAATTCAAGCTGAAGCTATACCACATAGCCAGCAGCTATAAAAAAGAACAACCCATTAGTAAATCTACCTTATGTTCGAGCTCTGGCTCCATTCACACCCATTTATCTCTCGGTGACTCATTTAGGAATCCAGTAAATTCTTCTTACCTCAGAGTGAGTTAGTCTGTTTCCACGCGGTGAGATTTGTTTACAAGAAAACAACAAATAAGAATCAGTTGTGGCGAGTTTCATGGTGTAACTGTTTGAAAAAGATTTTCCAACTCAGATCGCTTTCACACATTCAGTTTCTAGCGTGCAAGATGTTACTCTGAGCGTTATTGTTTTTCTTGGGCATGCAGCTGGTATCAAACCACAAATGTTTGACTTAACAAGGGGAGCATTTGGTGTGCGTTCACGTGTGTGTGTGTGTGTGTGTGTGTGTGTGTGTGTGTGTGTGTGTGTGTGTGTGGGTCTCACTGTGACATCTGTGAGCGCCCCTCAACCTTAACAAGACGTCTGGAGGAGTTTCAGGCTCTGGATTCGTTACTGTGTATAAAATGTTAAGATCGGTGTCGGTGTGTTTAAGTCTCGGCTAAGCAGGGGGGCTTTCGGCTGCCAGCAGGGGTCTGTTCTCTGCCAACAAGTGTCCTAAATCGAGCAGCAGCTCAACAAAGGCTGCATTTTTTAAGGCAGTAACAAATCCTGTGGTGTATTGGTTAACAAACAAACAAAGGTACATACATTATGTCAGTACAAAATGGAGAGGAAGGAACAACAGAGAGATTTGAAAGGAATCTGCTTGGGGATTTGAGCCAGTAGACTTGAGTCATGGTCTTCAGGGTGCAGACTTACGGACAGTGTGGGTGTGATATGACCAACAATTACCATGATTAAGAAGAATAATAGAAAAGATATATACAAATCAAAAACCAGTAACAGATATTTTTTGTATCTTTAAAGCTGATTTGATAACATTGTTATTTTGTAAATACTACGAGTAACATAAAAAACAGACTTGTATTGAACACAGGGAGGATTATCCCCTCAGCCTTTAGAGCCTTTTAGCATCTTTCAGCTCATTATTATGTTTTACCATCCAGCAACTACTTTACTTTATTTATTTTTTGTTGCAACAACCCTTTGATAAACCCTCTGTAGACAACATGCTAAGCACAAAAACAACCGGTGAACATGGTGGAGAATTGAGTAGCTTATCAGCCAAATAATTCCGAGTTGGTTGGAGACCAAACCAGAGGTAAAAACAGAGACAAAGATACTTTTGAGTTACCAAGTTTTACCTATTTGCAAGTTTGTATTGGCTTTTCTTGTATTGCATTTACAATGGCATCAAATTAAATCCTTTATAAGCATACACTTGAAGAACACCCATGTTTGATTATTATTTTTCTGATGCATAAAAAAGGGTTTAAAATGAAAAACTACCACCAAGACTCCTCCTGAGTCGACATTGTCTGATCTTGTGAAAAAACAGATGTTACAGTAAATATGCTAACCTTAAAAAGTTTGCGCTCATCAGATTACATGCTGCATTGTTCTGAGTAAAGACGTACAGTAGAACAAAGACTAGATGCTCGATGACAGCTGG